TACATACGTGCGCCTCTTTACCGCAGACGCGGTCGTTAAGGCACTCAACTAAGTGCTATTAGGGGTTACCCCCATCCTCATCAATGCGAAAGAAGGGCAGATCGTCCATAGAAAGGAGAGATCGTACCCGAATATCAAGATCCTGCAGATTAGTAAACTCCCGCATCCCCTCTGTACTATCCACGGCCCACAATGCCAACTCAGTCGTCGGACCATTCGCCCGAACGTCACAATGAAACCACTGAACCGTCGCAGTAGAACAGAGGAAACGCAGTCTAGCATAAACATCATGAAGGTACCACGGGGTACCCTCCCTAAAGAAACAATCAAACTCTGAATGGTGGGACTCCACGTGGACACGCAAGAAGGACTGAGATATACACCACTGAATACACCGAAGAAGTACGTCCATCCCTCCACGCTCCACTGGATCCCACCTGAATGCAATAGAAGAAATAGCATAGAGAAACTTACCTGTCGAGTCACGCACGATCGCTGCATATGCCCCACGGAGCGGGGCTCTCGCCACATTCACCTTGACCGCGCCATCCGGCGGTGGGTCCCACCGAATCGGCACCACCCTCCTACGTCCAGATTCTCGTCGAACGTGCTCCATAATCACCGACCATCGGGGAGGCAAAAGACCTCCGCTAGGCCAGCGACGATAGATGCACTCCGACACCGCCGTAGCCACCCGAAAGATAATGCGTGCAAAGTTGGGGCGAGCATCCCCATACTTGCACGCAGCATAGTGCGTCCAAAGCTCCCAAAGAATGATCATCGGCAGGCGGTGGAACAGGAACGAGAGCATCCTGCTCCTCGGCCTCTGCGCCCACCATATGCTCACGACGGACCTCAAACTGTGATGTGCGCCCATGATACGGGCAGACTCGGTGAAATAAGTCCAAACACGCTGCGCCATGCTCCCCTGATAAAATATATGTGTAATGGTCTCCCGTCCTGGCGACGAGCAACAGAGACATCGTGAGGGTAAAGCAAGCCCAAATCTCGTCAGGACATCATCAGTG